CTGGTCAAAGCACCAGTCAAGTAATTAAGAAAAATAATAGTAATTCTGGTCAAAGCACCACTCAAGTAATTAATGTTAGCAACTGTCCCGTTGTTGGCGACATCGAAGATGACATTACTGAATATACTTCTCAGGACTCTATCCCTGTTCAGGACTCTGAACTCTGACTCTTTCACGGAGTGTGTCCTTTGATAACTTCGAAACTGTCACCAAGAAGCGACCTGGTAAAAAACGTGTGATGGTCCCAACCTCTGCTCAATAATCTAATGCGATTTCTAAGAGGTCCAAGGCTGTGCCCAATCTTCCCAAGAGGAAGGGGAAGCCCCAGCCTTGGCTTTCATGAGGGTCATTCACTTTCTCCTCTTGAATTTGTCTGTCATCACTTTAAATGCCAACGGTATCAGAGACCGATCTAAGCGAGATGGTCTCGTGCAGTGGTTGCGCTCTCTCCCTGTGAGTGTGGACCTGGTCTGCCTCCAGGAAACGCATTGTACGTCTGCAAATGAGTGTCGTTCTTGGTTTCTTTCCTCTGGGTTTAACTCTGTACTGTCTCCAGGCTCTACTCATTCTTGCGGGTGTGTGATTCTTTACCGCCCCACGCTGTCTCTATCTAACTCTTGGTCCGATTCTGACGGCCGTTTTCCTCAATGTGAATTCTCCTTTCGTAACCAGTCCTTCCGTGTCTGTTGTTTGTATGCTCCGAACCGCAACCCTGCACGAGACCAGTTTCTAGACGTGATCCACCCTAAAGTGGATCCCTCCATCCCTACATTATTGTGTGGCGACTTTAACACTGTCTTTGACCGTAGCCTGGACAGACGTGGCTCGGCCCCCTCGGATTCGTCGCGAGAAAGTACTACCTCACTCCATGGCCTTTTTGATGCATGTTGCGTTCTTGACATCTACCGGTATCTGCACTCCACGTCTCCCGGTTTTACTTGGACTAAGTGGAATGGCGCTCTCGCGTCTCGGATTGACCTTGTCGGTGTTCCCTTCCTTTGGATAACATCGGTAAATTCATGCTCTGTTGTTCCGTACCCTTTCTCGGACCACTGTGGTGTTCTCACCTCGGTGTCTGTCCCAGACACTGTTCCACCAGGTCCTGGGCTTTGGAAACTGAACATAGCCATTCTCAAAGAAAGTGAATATGTCCAACTGGTGACTGACTTTTGGCGCACTTGGCAAGGGTCAAGAACTGTATTCACTTCATTCAGAAAATGGTGGGAGGATGGCAAAAATCGCCTCAAAGGTCTGACAATTAATTATTGTAAGTCAAGGTCTTCTATGAAAAAGCGCAACAGAGACACTCTCGTCAATTTTATTGCCCACCTGAAAGCAAAAGTGGATCGATCTCATGCGTCACACCCTATCGTGCGTCACACCCTATCAGTCAGCTCTCTCCACCCTTGCAGCCCTCGATCGTGAAGCTGCCCGTGGTAAGGTGCCCAGGTAAGGTCTCGCATTAGATGGGTTGAGGAAGGTGAAGCCTCATCGTCGTACTTCTTTTGCTTAGAGAGAAAACGTTCAGTAGATCGTTGGATACCCGCCCTGAGGGACAGCGGTGGTTCTATTGTCTCGTCCCCGGAGGACTTATGCCTTACGTTAAACTCCTTCTATTCCGATCTTTTCTCTGCCACTCCCACCGATCCTCACGCCCAGTCCTCTCTCCTGTCTAATCTCTCGTCCTCACTTCCTCCTGCTCAGGCTGAGACATGTGAGGGCCTGCTAATCACTGAGGAGTGTCTCGCTGCAATTAAAGGCATGGCAAAAAATAAGGCCCCTGCCTTGACGGCTTCCCGGCCGAGTTCTACCTCAGATTCTGGGGTGTTATCGGTCGAGACCTTGTTACTGTCCTAAATGATTGTTTCCTCTCCGGGTCCCTCGCTCTCTCGCAACGTCGTGGCATTATCACCCTATCATTCAAGAAGGGAGACCGCCTTGATCCCCGAAACTGGCGCCCCATCACCCTGTTAAACGTGGATTACAAGATTGCATCCCGAGCTATCGCAGGCCGACTCTTGAAAGTGATCCATCTCGTGGTCAACAAAGACCAAGCCTGTGGCGTACCCGGCAGGTACATCGGGGAAAATGTCTCCTTAGTTCGTGATGTGGTTCACTACACTATGTCCACGGGATACCCTGCAGCAATCTTGTCACTGGATCAAGAAAAGGCCTTTGACCGGGTAGATTGGGGATTTATGAAGGCTACCCTCTCTGCCATGGGCTTTGGCCCCGCATTCATTGCGTGGGTGAGTCTTTTCTATCATCGTGTGTAGAGTTCTGTAAACGTCAACGGGTATCTCTCTCCTTTTTCTATCTGTCGCGGGGCTGCCCCCTGTCCCCCCTCCTCTATGTCATCGCATCGGAAGTCCTGGCTGCCAGCATTCGTGCTAATCCTCGAATCTCTGGCCTGTCCATCCCTGGTTTTCCACCATTATCTCCGATATCTCAGTACACGGATGACACCTTACTCATCTTGACGTCTGAAAACTCTATAAAAGCCTGCTTCGAGGTCTACACTCTTTTCCAAGCTGCCNCTTTTACGCAAGTAGCGGGCCTCAGTGATTCTCTATAAGAAGGTTAATTGAATTAAATAAATGTCCTTCTACTAGATTAGCTTTCGGCCATCTTGACACTGTCCACAAAAACAAATGTTCAGTTAAAAGGGCCCATTTAAGCCTCCTGGGCCATTAGCATAACCAAGAGTCGTGTGTGTTGTTATCCACATCCACTGCCAATTCTTCAGTTAGAAAACGTACTGTACCAAAAATTGGGTATCCCCGCTTCGGATACCCGCCGACGGTAAAAGCATGTGAGTGGTCAGCTGTTATTGTTACAAGGGTTTCGTCTACTGGAAAGAAAATATATATAAATCAGTTATGAAGTTGTATTATGTTGGTCCATCTTTTCATGAGAAAATAACTAAGCCAATCGCACCTTTACTTTAACTGACACTTCGGGCCAGTTATTTAAACGAGGTCTTATCCAAACCGTGGTTTTACGCAAGCAGTGGGCCTTAGGGATTCTCTTTTAGAGTGTTGTTTTGGTAATTAAATAAATGTTCTTCCGCCATTAGCTTTCGGCTCTCTTGAGATCGTACACAAAAGTTCCGGATAAATTGAAGATAGCTTAGAGCGTGGTTTTGTTAAACAACGGCTAACCATTGTTTAAATAACCAGTCCTTCATGTTTTTGTAACTGCTACTGACGCGATTATTCGGAAATCATTCCTGTATCTAAATCGTATATACTTTAAGCTCTACTAATCCCGTTGATCATGACCCTGTATTATTCGCAATATTTCCGTGACCACTTAAGAGAGGCAATACAAAAATAACCAGGGGTGTTTATCAGTTAATATCCAGAGATAGAGTGGAAAGAACTGAGATACAATACTTGAAATGAAACTCTCAAGATTACCCAAAAATATCTTCCGTGGGAACCAATCTGTGCAACACTAACCCCTAACCAGGTAACCAATACTTATAAATTTGGAAACCACATCCTCTATGAATAACCTAGAAACGTAAACTCAAGTTCTAATGACCCTTAAGTTTACGAAACATGACAGAGACCTTACCGTGATTCTTTAGAAAAAGAAGTTATCGTCAAATAATTTTTGTTCATCGAGTAACGGGCTTCGTGCACACATTCACCTATCTTTTTTCCCCTTCGATGGATCTTCTAAAAATTTCTCCAACTTAAAGGGAATAATTTGTCCACCAAAATTATGCAATAAAAACT